TTGGAAAGAAAAGAAAGAAGGGATACTGGTCTGTAGTTGTTGACATCAGTGGGATCGAGTGTTGGTTTTTTGAGAAGGGGTGCAACTCTCGCTCTCTTGAAGACGGAAGGGACATGGCCAGCGGTCAAGGATGAGTTGATCAGCGAGGTGAGGTAGGGGAGAAGGTCACCGGAGATGGTCTGGAGAAGAGAGGAGGGGATGGGGTCAAGCGGGCAGGTTGTTGGGCGGCCTGCAGTCACTAGTCGCAAGATTTTATCTGGAGAGAGAGGGGAGAAAGAAGTCAAAGCATAGGGTATGGCAGTGTGAGCAGGACCAGCAGTGTCATTAGACTTAACAAACGAGGATCGGATGTCGTCAACCTTCTTTTCAAAGTGGTTGACGAAGTCATCCACAGAGAGGGAGGAGGGGGGGGGGGGGGGGGGGTGGGGGGGAGGATTCAGCAGTGAGGAGAATGTGGCAAAGAGCTTCCTAGGGTTAGAGGCAGATGCTTGGAATTTAGAGTGGTAGAAAGTGGCCTTAGCAGCAGAAACAGATGAAGAAAATGTAGAGAGTAGGGAGTGAAAAGATGCCAGGTCAGCAGGGAGTTTAGTTTTCTTCCATTTCCGCTCCGCTGCCCGGAGCTCTGTTCTGTGAGCTCGCAATGAGTCATCAAGCCACGGAGCTGGAGGGGAGGACCGAGCCGGCCGGGAGGATAGGGGACACAGGGAGTCAAAGGATGCAGAAAGGGAGGGGAGGAGGGTTGAGGAGGCAGAATCAGGAGATTGGAGGGAGAAGGATTGAGCAGAGGGAAGAGATGATAGGATGGAAGAGGAGAGAGTAGTGGGAGAGAGAGAGCGAAGGTTGCGGCGGCGCGTTACCATCTGTGTAGGGCCAGAGTGAGTAGTGTTGGAGGAGAGCGAGAGAGAAAAGGATACAAAGTAGTGGTCGGAGACATGGAGGGGAGTTGCAATGAGATTAGTAGAAGAGCAACATCTAGTAAAGATGAAGTCAAGCGTATTGCCTGCCTTGTGAGTAGGGGGGGACGGTGAGAGGGTGAGGTCAAAAGAGGAGAGGAGTGGAAAGAAGGAGGCAGAGAGAAATGAGTCAAATGTAGACGTAGGGAGGTTGAAATCCCCCAAGACTGTGAAGGGTGAGCCATCCTCAGGAAAGGAACTTATCAAGGCGTCAAGCTCATTGATGAACTCTCCAAGGGAACCTGGAGGGCGATAGATGACAAGGATATTAAGCTTAAATGGGCTAGTGACTGTGACAGCGTGGAATTCAAATGAGGAGATAGACAGATGGGTTAGGGGAAAAATTGAGAATGACCACTTGGGAGAGATGAGGATTCCTGTGCCACCACCCCTCTGACCAGATGCTCTCGGGGTATGCGAGAACACATGGTCAGACGAGGAGAGAGCAGTAGGAGTAGCAGTGTTTTCAGTGGTAATCCATGTTTCCGTCAGCGCCAGGAAGTCGAGGGACTGGAGGGTAGCATAGGCTGGGATGAAGTCAGCCTTGTTGGCGGCAGAACGGCAGTTCCAGAGGCTGCCTGAGACCTGGAACTCCAGGTGTGTGGTGCGTGCAGGGACCACCAGGTTAGAGAGGCAGCAGCCACGCGGTGTGAGGCGTTTGTGTAGCCTGTGCGGAGAGGAGAGAACAGGGATAGGCAGAGGCATAGTTGACAGGCTGCAGCAGATGGCTACAATAATGCAGAGGAGATCGGAATGAAATGAACTAAACATCTGGGAAAGGAGAGAGCAGTCCTCCCTCACCAAAAAAAATATAACTCTCCCAACTTCCACCTCAGAAACTATAATTGTTTCACTGAACCACCCGAATAAAACTCTCCCAACTTCCACTTTAGAAATTAGAATTGTTGTAAACTACAGCAGACTGTTATCAGTAGCTGTAATTAAGTACAGCAGCTACCAACCACCTAACGTTAATGCCTCGGATAATGAGGTTAGAAAAACAGCTGAATGGTGGCAGCTAGCTGGCTCAATCACAGGTACTGTCAAGCATGAAATAACATTGGAAACAACTAACCACAGTTGCTAAAAGTTACCAGTAGCTACCCAGCTTTGTTGGTCCAAGTAGTGGGTAAGCTAGCCTCGTGCTTCGCCGGGGTCCGCCGAATACAATACTTACCTACAATAATTACCTACAATAACCTACAATAACTACCTGAGTAAACTACCTATAATACCTAACTACAATACCTACCTACAATCTAAATACATGGTTTAAGCTTTACTCAACACCATATAAGAAGCCATATAAGAAACATCTCAAGGATGATCAATGGAAGCAAGATGCACCTGAGCTCAATTTGGTCTGAATATGTATGTAAATAAGGTATTTCATTTATTTTATAATTTTTTCGGGCAAAAAAAATCTAAAAACCTGTTTTCGCTTTGTCATTATGGGGTAGGTGTGTAGATTGATGAGGAACATTTTTGAATAAGGCTGTAACGTAACAAAATGTGGAAAAAGTCAAGGGGTCTGAATACTTTCCGAATGCACTGTAATGGCTGGTATGGAGTGAATGGAATGGTATCATACACATCACTTCATTCCAGCCATTATTATGAGCCTTCTCCTCAGCAGCCTCCACTGACAGACAGGGAGTTGACTATTGTCATAACTGGGTCGTTCCATGAAAAGAGTGCCTTTTGCGTCCCTTTGATATTTAAAGTATAAGTTGTGCACCAATATTGAATTTAAAAGCCTGTTATATAGACCACATGGAGAATTCAATAAATCTGATTTTTAATGTCCATCCGTCAACCCTGTGTCACTTCTAGGAAGAGTTTAACCCACTTAATCCCAAATTGTAGCCAAGTTTCACCCTCATCGTAAAAAAATTGTTTTAAGAATTTTTTATTTTTTGTGAAGCTTGTATTCAATTGTCACACCCTGTCGCATACAGCAAGCTTCCATTCCCCCTGTCACAAGTGGATTTATGGCTGATTTAATAATTAATCGTCAACCCTGTATGGTCAACCATTTTACTTTATTTGGCACTAAATAGGCACTTACTATAGTCTTTTTTATTTTATTTTCTTCTCTTATGAAGTTCAACATCTGCTCTTTATGACAGAATGTTAAAATTAAGTGAAATCAACCAGGCACCAAATTGGTGGAATGATTTATTTTGTGATACCAGTATTCTGTGGAAAGGAATAGGAACACTACCTCTTAACCCATATTCTGGTAAGAAGAACTAGTCTACAGGCTGCATCGACAAAATGACGCACTCTGGCAGGAGAGCTCTAGAACCTTTTGCAGATCTCCTCTGCTTTCTGGTGGTGATTGTTCTGAATTGCAGGCAACGTTTTTTCAATGTAGAATAATAAAAGCGTTTCTGAGTGTGCTTTAATGTACTGTTAAAATCATGCAACAAACTTTACACACAAAGTACTTAAAGTTATTAAAGTACTAAAGTTATTTCCATGATACTTTTTTGGGTCACACTTTATTTGGATCGTCCGGATTTTCCATCTGTAGATGGTCATACTATCAACAAACTATCTGTTGATAAGCAACTGCTTGCTAAGGTTACGGTTAGGGTTAGGTTTAGAATAAGGTTTAGGCTAAGGGTTAGGGTTAGAGCTAGGGTTAGGGTTAGTACATAGTTAGTTGAAATGTTACTGATAGTCTGTAGATAGTCTGTAGAGGATCAACAGATGGACTATCCAAATAAAGTGTTACCCATTTTTGTGGTAATATGACTCCCACTACTTGACCAACATGTGAGTCACGTGTTGAAGTACCAGACACGGGTAGGCAAAGTGCCAAATTCTTTGACAGTGAAAACACTCTGAACAACTTTTCAGATTACTTAGTTCAAACATGAATTTACTGGAAATGTTACGCAATCACTGCTTGTTTTGTTTGCATTTCAATAAATCAATCTAAAGATCAGTCTGTCTGTCAGGTGACAGGCCAGAGATAAAGATGGCTTATAAAAGGCTATATATTCCTGTGTTGCCCTCTGCACACTCACTCACTCACTCACACACACACACACACACACACACACACACACACACACACACACACACCACAGACACACACACACACGGAGAGTAGATAAACAAGACAACAGTGCAATATGAGTGCATCAACCATCTTTATTAATCGTTTCTAACATGCTACACCACCTAACAGTCCACAGTCAGAATGAACGTTGTCTGTACAAAGCATCAGGTGTTCTAGGTGACAGTTGTCTTCCCCTAGAGGCCTTCATTAAGTACAGAATGGATTCAAACAATCTTTCAATATTTTCTGTTCACCCACCTCTCATTCTAGATGGTTTCTTTTGCTAGTTGAAAAGTGTTCCCTCTATTTTGTTGGTTGAAAAATGTTCACTCTTTGTTGTGTTAGTTCAAAAAGAGTGCATTATACATATGTGTGCAATATTGCCAAACAAAAATAACTCAGTGACTGTAACTAAACATACATCCTCACAACTGTAAGCAATGGATATTGACGTTTGAAAGCTTTGTCTACAAAACACACAACTGCTTTAAAACACCAGAGAGTTAAGGTATGCAAAAACAAAAGGTTGGTGAGGTCTTTTTTTTTTTTTTAGGCCTAATAAAAAAAATCTGAACTATCAATAATGTATTTTAACCAAATTGGTTTTGCTAACGTGATGCCAGTTTGTTCAGCATAGGCAACTACTACTACATTCTCCTTCCAAAGCCCTCGATATTTCAAACTTTAGGGGGTGTAAGTCCCTCCCCCTCCCCTCTCCCCAGCCGGACATCAGACAGACGCCACTAGAGCGTAGTTTCTGCGCCTGCCTTCATTGTGGATGGAGGGAGCTAAACGGAGCAGGAGAAACGTCAACATAATCACCCCATACACTCCCAGGAGGGTGACACCAACACACTGATAGAGAGTGATAGGGTGGAGGACACATTCCTTGAAGTTTTACCATCACTGTGGTCACATCTCAAATACCATCCTGTTCCCCATATTGTCATGGGTTTAGGCTTGGCATTCACCTACCAGACCCAATGCGTGTCCTCCCATCTCTCTCTGTCAGGCGTGGCTTCACGGTCCCAGGGTAATACTAGTTGGTAAGATGTTATAAGAGCGCTTCGCCCCGGTGTTGGTCTCACAGATGTTAATCTGAGGCCTATAAGGTATAGCAAGGTAACTGTCACAGAGCCATGGCTCTGCTTACAGCTGCCCTCACCCTCAGCTCTCAACACCCATGGGTCAGGCTCACATGACTGGCTGAGGCTGCTGTCAGTCAGCGGGGGGCGAGCGTCACTGTCAGGTCTCCCTGAGGCCCATCAGTCCATGACACTGTCAGGAGGCGGGCAGCGCCTCATCACAGTGTCAGTGCCCGATTAGCTCGTTGCTCACCCCATCGCCAAACAGCCTCCGTCAGTGTCAGCATCAGCTGACCTTGGAGGAGGGACTTAGATCAGACCCCTCTTTCCACTGTCAGCTGTGCTCCGCCTTTCACCTGGACCTCCCATTCATTCAGGGATTCTGCATAATATGCCCTCCCTGCCTTTCCTGGGGCATCTGGCCCAGTTGCACCGCCTGCTGACCCATATGCTCCTGACCGACGTGCAACTGGCCGTGGGCCTGGCCGTGTTGGAGCCCCTCAGCGCCATGTTGGTGCTGCTGCTGCTGCTGCTGCTCTGCCCCATGATCACGCCTGTGATCGCGCCCCATCCCCCTCTCACCATGGTGACCGTGACTATGGCGGTTGCCATTGTGACCATGACCGTGGCCATGGTGATGATGGCCGTGTCCACCATGAGTTGTCTCCCCTCCGGTGACTGGCTTCTCCTCTCCCTCAGGCTTCGCCTCTACTGTCCTGTTGCACTCTGCTGGGATCTCATTGCTCTGTGTGGGGGAAAAGAGGAGGGGTCTTGGTTTGTTTTCCATAACTCATAGAGCTAATTCCCACATACAAACACAGACACACCCAGTGTGTGTGTGTGTGTGTGTGTGTGTACCTCATACGTGCAGTCCCCACAGATGCGTGTGCAGTAGGTCTCCTTGATGGCGTTCTCTACATAGGGAGTATCTAGGATGGAGTAGGGCAGGGAGATATGGTAGGTCAGACGACCACACCTGGCAGAGAGACAGAGAGAGAGAGAGAGAGAGAGAGAGAGAGAGAGAGAGAGAGAGAGAGAGAGAGAGAGAGAGAGGATAATTGTCAGGGGAACAGATAGCATGGTGAGCACGGTTTGTATTTCTGAGTAGACTGACCGCAGACAGACAGAGAGACCACAGTCTGGAGCTGACCTGTCATAGATGAGGAAGTCATCCTTCTCTCCAGCCAGGGTCTGCCACACGTCATCCTGTTTGGGCTCCTGTTGGTATAGCGTGATGTTCTCAGACAGTTTCTTCCTCAGCATGGTGTGTAGGCGCTGGGCCTGCTGCCCCTGGTGGTTCACCACCATATAGGTCACATTCTCCAGACCCTGACCCTCCAGCTTCAAGCGCAGCCCATCCAATCTGCTCAGAGGAACACAACAGGGAAGTGAAACATGAGGATATGGAGAGATGGTAAAAATAAATCATGAAATAACAAAATAAAGAACGGGCATAACAAAAACAACACTAGGAAAGTGGCTAGGGGTCCGAAATGGAACCGAGCCCTATCTGGTCCACTTACAAGGACGCCTGCACCAAGCAGAACAATCAGCTGGCCTGAAGGAGGGCCACCACAGTGACCTGGCCCATGACCTCCTTCATAGGCTCCACCTCCCCAATGCTCCAACCAGGTGGTGGCTTACAGCGGGTCCCCTCCCCCTCGCTCTCTGTTCCGCCCCCAGGGAGCAGGCAGAGAGCCAGGAGCAAGCTTAGTCCCGCCCACATCGCGGTGCTGCACGGCAGGCTTGATCTGCATGAGAGTAGGAGAGAGAGAGAGAGAGAGAGAGAGAGAGAGAGAGAGAGAGAGAGAGAGAGAGAGAGAGAGAGAGAGAGAGAGAGAGAGAGAGGTAAAGCAAGTTAGGTAAGAGTCAGCTCAGGTAATGAGGACAGGGTTTGTACAGTAGTTCAATGCTATGTCACAATTTACTATCTGTGTCCCAATAGTGTGGTAATAGATAGTTGGACACTAGATAATTAAAGATCAACTCAATTTTGGGTTGTGTCCCAATCGTCCTAAATTACGTCTCTTTCCCTCAGTCATTCCCTTATCAGACTTATTAAGTAAAAGCAATGCTGCCTGGAAATCAGTTATTTGTCCTATCAATGGCATGAAGATAAAAGAGACAAAGAAAGGAATACTTTTTTAAAAATATTTTATTTGCTGACATGAAAGAAATTAGGAATTGGTATGAAATGTAACTTATTTTCTGATGTTTTACATTTCTAGCCTTTTATTTATGGGGATAGATATTGTTGTTGTTTTTGTTCATTTAGAAATTATATTGCATAACCAAAGGCGTACTGATGAACGGTAGAAAAACAACGGTTAGGGGAGGCTGGTTAAGTGCGGAAAGTTCTCTCTTTCTCTCTCTCTCTGCATATTCATATTTTAGAAAAAACCAATTGCAAATCCACTGGAAATGATTAAATACAGTGTATATGCCATATGGAGACAACACAAGCAAAATAACAAAGCTAAAGAAATAGCAAAACACTTTGTCTCAATTTGTTCAAGTGATCGTGTATCACAGGTTATAGACATAAAAAAAGAGAGAAAGAGTTATGCTCTGTCTTATCAACATGCACAAAAAGGTAGGAAATCATTTTGCAGTAACTTACTGTCTGGTAAAAAGTCCCTCCTCAGTCAGCTCAGCTCGGTTTAGCAGTAGCTTCTGGAAGAAAAACAATCCTCAACTCTCTCTGCTCCCCCTTTTATACTCACAGTGTTGTTTTCCTGCCTGCCCGGAAGGAGGACAAAGTTCAGCAAGAGGTCTGTGCAGATACCTGCACTAAAGCAGTTTAATAAGTCACTATTTTGTAATACCATCATACTGTAGTTAGTAGTTAATAGTTTATGTTCATCACATTTGAATTGAAAAGTGTTTATGAAGGGAGTACACAGATCACATGGAATGTGATCTCGGCCACCAGCCAGCTCTCTGTCTGTCGACCATCTGGTTTCACGGGACTTGACTGGAAGACAAGTCAAAGCGCGAGCAATTCGAGAGTGTGAAAAGGTTACATGGAAAGAAAGTGAACTCTCTCATGACAGCTTTAGAGTTGTGTGTTGTGTCTGTCATTGCACTAGACAAATAAAGACACGACTAAAACGGAATTGCCCAATACTTTCCCCTTAGTTTGATTTTTTCACCACTGCATGATCACCTCTGGCTCATTCATTTGCCTGACATAGTGAAGCCTGACACAGAATGGTTAAACAACAGAACATTCTGACAATCTGATTTTCTCTGAGGTGGAGAAGTGGAAAAAGGGAGTGGGGGGAGTGGGGAGAGTAGGGGGAGTGGGGAGAGTGGGGAGAGTGGGGAGTGAGGAGAGTGGGGGGGAGTGGGGGCTTGGCCAGTATCCAGTACGTTATGAAGGCCAAAACAAATACATTGGCTGATTGCCTAACTGGACACTTAGACACAAAACAGAGAAATCTAACACAGAGGAGAAAGAGTTTGTGTGTATGTGTTTGTGTGTATAAAGTGAAGGCTACACTGTGTTGTAAACAAATGCAAGACATATCCCAAAGATGTCCCATGAACTGTCTGGCAGCATGCACAGAGAAAGGCAATGATGAAGCTGTAGTTACTGAGGAGCATAAGATAATGAGACACAGCATTGTACTTTATTGACACATACAGTATCTAGTTTCTCTAAATATGAGGACAAGCATAGGCTACAGAACAGTATTAAACACACAGACTAAAACAGTCACCTCATGTTAAGTTCAAATTGACTAGATTGGGATGGAAATCCCAATCTTCTATAAAGAGCTTTTAGCACCCAAAACGCTTATCTCCGGGCACAGTGACCTAAAAGTAATTGTTTCCAAGACATAATTTTAAAAAAAATTTAAAGGTTGAAAGGAATTCTTGGGAACCACAGAGTTAAAGTGTGTGTGTGTGTTTTAGATGATAAACGGATGGTATTCATTGTAATTGATCCACAGAGCTGTAGAACTGGTAAATTGACTGTATACTACAACCCTGACCTGTTCGTAGCTAGGCGTAATCTACCCCTAACATTACAGTGTCTTGCAAAAGTATTCATCCCCCTTGGCGTTTTTCCTATTTTGTTACATTACAACCTGTAATTTAAATGGATTTTTATTTGGATGTCATGTAATGGACATACAGAAAATAGTCCAAATTGGTGAAGTGAAATGAAAAAAATAACTTGATTCAAAACATTATACAAAATAAATAACGGAAAAGTGGTGCGTGCATATGTATTCACCCCCTTTGCTATGAAGCCCCTAAATAAGATCTGATGCAACCAATTACCTTCAGAAGTCACATAATTAGTTAAATAAAGTCAATCTGTGTGCAATCTAAGTGTCACATGATCTGTCACATGATCTCAGTATATATACACCTGTTCTGAAAGGCCCCAGAGTCTGCAACACCACTAAGCAAGGGGCACCACCAAGCAAGCGGCACCATGAAGACCAAGGAGCTCTCCAAACAGGTCAGGGATAAAGTTGTGGAGAAGTACAGTTCAGGGTTGGGTTATAAAACAATATCAGAAACTTCGAACATCCACGGAGCACCATTAAATCCATGAATAAAAAATAGAAAGAATATGGCACCACAACAAACCTGCCAAGAGAGGGCCACCCACCAAAACTCACGGACCAGGCAAGGAGGGCATTAATCAGAGAGGCAACAAAGATAACCCTGAAGCAGTTGCAAAGGACCACTTTAAGCCCTACACTCCACAGAGCTGGGCTTTACGGAAGAGTGGCCAGATAAAAGCCATTGCTTGAAGAAAAAAATAAGCAAACACGTTTGGTGTTCGCCAAAAGGCATGTGGGAGACTCCCCAAACATATGGAAGAAGGTACTCTGGTCAGATGAGACTAAAATTGAGCTTTTTGGCCAACAAGGAAAACGCTATGTCTGGCGCAAACCCAACACCTCTCATCACCCCGAGAACAACATCCTCACAGTTAAGCATGGTGGTGGCAGCATCATGCTGTGGGGATGTTTTTCATCGGCAGGGACTGGAAAACTGGTCAGAATTTAAGGAATGATGGATGGCGCTAAATACAGGAAAATTCTTGAGGGAAACCTGTTTCAGTCTTCCAGAGATTTGAGACTGGAACGTAGGTTCACCTTCCAGCAGGACAATGACCCTAAGCATACTACTAAAGCAACACTTGAGTGGTTTAAGGGGAAACATTTAAATGTTTTGGAATGGCCTAGTCAAAGCCCAGACCTCAATCCAATTGAGAATCTGTGGTATGACTTAAAGATTGCTGTACACCAGCGGAACCCATCCAACTTGAAGGATCTGGAGCAGTTTTGCTTTGAAAAATGGCTAGGTGTGCCAAGTTTATAGAGATATACCCCAAGAGACTTGCAGCTGTAATTGCTGCAAAAGGTGGCTCTACAAAGTATTGACTTTGGGGGGTGAATAGTTATGCACGCTCAAGTTTTCTGTTTCTTTATCTTATTTATTTTCTGTTTCACAAGAAAAAATATTTTGCATTTTCAAAGTGGTAGGCATGTTGTGTAAATCAAATGATACAACCCCCCCAAAAAATCTATTTTAATTCCAGGTTGTAAGGCAACAAAATAGGAAAAATGCCAAGGGGGGTGTATACTTTTGCAAGCCACTGTATATCTGCAAGTCAATTATCTCACAACAAATCATCATCATAAAAGTGAATTACATGCCATAAAAACTGTCATAGTTTCTCCAGTATAGAATCAAGTTTGAAAAACAACCTTCAACAAAATGCTCAGTCAGTAATAGAATCTTATTTGTCAAGATTCAATTTATCCCTGAATGCACCTTGATATTTTTCTGCTACAAAAAGCTCCAAACTCATGGTTTATGGATAATGGCATTCTCAATCTCCTCAAGCTTTAGGCCTTTTGGTGGGCATGTTGAAACAAGTTTGTGTAGAGATTGTACGAACTCTCTACTCACTGTCTATCTTGAACAGTAAATAATTAACTTTTTAAAAAATTGGCAACTGTGCAAGTGCAAAAGGTATATGTTGACAGCAGCAGATTATAATGGCTGTGTTGGCTAATTTGAAAACCTTTGAAACAAGTTATTCCATTGCAAATAATTAATTGGTTAAAACAATATAAAATATGCAAACCACACAAAATGGACAATAGTTATTTTCCATTCTACTCTATTCTGTTCTATTCTAGACTAGATAAATCGATTCTAGTCAATTAGGGAAGGAGCTGGCTGAGTACCGAAATAGAACTGGACCAAAGACTCAAAAAGTGAAGAAATCGTTACGTGGCGGGCAGAAGCGTGAAATTTGGAAGAGATGCTCTTTGGGATATATTAATTGATATTAGGGTGCTGAAACTCAGGCAATATGAATCCGATTTTGGAAAGGTGATACTACTGTTGAATTTTTGGGGCCAAAAGTTTAAAAAATATTTTGTATTTGTGAATAGTGGACCACTCTTCAACAATATGCCATTATAGTCCATAACTAACCTGCCTAAAGTATAGCCTTGAAACACCAAAACTCAACTTGTGTTACATATCTATGCCTATTTAGAATACTGTGGTATTTCACCAAATTTCACAAAAATGCATTTACTGGAAGAACTGTGCAGATGCAAAGTTTGATAACCGAATTACAGTAAACTCTCCCTGTTTTTATGATACCACGTTTTCCAAAGTCTCTGTTAAATATCTGCTCCGAATTAAGATTCAAAGATGTCTGCAGAGAGAATGGGGTGTCAGCTTTGACATGACACTTGAGTTTGAAAAAAAATAGATTTTGGTATTAACGTAATGA